GCGAACTAAGTAAGAAAATCAAAAGATAATATTAACATAAATAAGTTTTTCCTGAACGAATTTGGTTTCTGGTACACTTAATGTGTTAATGTGTTAGTGGTACGCCAGCGGAAAAGTGTGAGAACCCCTGCCATACAGTCCACTTGAGAAGATGCTAGTCGCTTAGCTGATCATGAAATTCCCCGCATAGGATTTGAGGTTTTCACAGCGGTGAGTATGAAGATTTCTGTCTTCTGGGTTGTTGCGCTGTGTAGTCTGGTCGATGTTTACCAACGTTTCGGAGGTCATACAGCCTCCGTCATCAGGGCGATGAGTCTGAAGATTTCTGTCTTCTGGGTTGTTGCGCTGTGTAGTCTGGTCGATGTTTACCAACGTTTCGGAGGTCATACAGCCTCCGTCATCAGGGCGATGAGTCTGAAGATTTCTGTCTTCTGGGTTGTTGCGCTGTGTAGTCTGGTCGATGTTTACCAACGTTTCGGAGGTCATACAGCCTCCGTCATCAGGGCGATGAGTCTGAAGATTTCTGTCTTCTGGGTTGTTGCGCTGTGTAGTCTGGTAGAAGTTTACCGACGTTTCAGAGGTACATCCATGCTGCCTCCATCATCAGGGCGATGATCCTCCATCTGTACTACATGCCCCATCCATTACATTGTCTTTCTTCTTCATAATAAGGAAGGTATATTATGAAGCTTCTCATAACGCAGTTTTTCATGTTTGAGATAAAAGTCTACTTAATGCAGAATGGTGACGCCAACGTATTTGCAGTCTGTGACTGAGCTGGGTCTTTATCGGTACAGTACGCAACCAACTGGGAAGTGAATAAGATGGAGAGAGAGTTAGCTTTATTTGTTATCTACCACCACAAAAGCTTTTTTACTGTAAAAGAACGAGAGTCATAAAGGATAATACCTAGTAACGGAGAAAGGCGTTATTTGAATACATATTACTAATTTGTAAAGACTGGCTACAATTTAAGTTCCTGTAGTTTAATGTTTCATAAAGAGAAAGTTATTCTGATGTAACATCCGCATGATAACATTTTAAATGCACACAACGAGATAACGTGTCAAGAACAAGAAACCAACGTATAGTCGTTAATAGATAAACGTTTCTTCCAGCATTTTTTTAACGCTAGTTATTTAAATTAAACATTTTAGTTAATATCCTTAATTTAACTTTGACAACAACGCAAGGTAACTCAAATCTAAAACGTTTGTGAAGATGGTGCGTTATTTAAATAAAAAGTTTTTTGGATGTTTTCCATCGTCTAATAAAATAATAAAATTAAACGACGTTTCGGAGATGGGACACTTATCTCCATCTTCAGGTAAACTTATTCTGTTGGGCCCAATCGATATAGATAGATTCCCATCTCCGAAACGTCCTTCATCATCATCATTATCCTTTCCCGTATTAGGCCACGAGGCGTGTTATGGTCTTGTATTTTCCTTCCATCTCTTCTGAGGTCGACCGAGAGATCTTTTCCCAGCAGGTCGGTATTTCAAAATTGCCTTTGGAGTTCTACTGTTGGTCATTCTATCCAATTGATTTGTCCAATTTTGTTGATATTGCCAAATGTATGTCATTACAGGTTCCATCTGAAGTTTTGTCTTCAGGTAAACCTACTTTGTTGGGCCCAATCGATAGAGATAGATTCCCATCTCCGAAACGTCCTTCAATTTTATTATTTTATTAGACGATGGAAAACATCGAAAAAACCTTTATTTAAACGCAAGTTAGGCTGCGGAAATCACTACTTTCTCCGCAACATATTGAATTTGGATGGTCATCTTTTGGGTTGTTGAGCAGCGGTCCAGAAAATCTCAATTAATGTTCACATCGCCGTGTAAACTTCACATGTTCGCATTCACTGGCAAATATACTGATATTGGGTTTAATGTGCTGTGTAGTGCTTTTATAAAGGACCCAACGAACGCCGCCTTGTAGTAGGCAACACTGCTTCATCATATTCTTACAATCTCGTTTTCAATATCCAACCCAGGAATTGGCTATCCTGATTCGGGTTTTCAGCAAAATTTTCAGTCCTTCAAGGTAAATGTTGGGCTAGTAAATGGAACATGGCTGACACCTTACGCTCCATTTCCAATTCATATGCCACACCCATTCTCCTATTCGACATTATATAACCTGTTCACTAGATAAAACTTTATGACATAAACTAAGATATAAACAAATGGTTCCTCCATCCTAGTCCCTGATTACTTCTGGTTGAAAGTCGTACAGCAAATTTCTATAAAACAAGTCCAATATATTAGTACTTCATTTTAAAGTTTTCGGCAAATATATATTGTCATTATTGGGATATTTTAGTCAGTCATCATTATTTTTCTATGATAAAAATTAAGAGTTTAAAATTTCTTACGTTTCGACGATTGGTAAGAATGTGCCTAATCCATTAAATCCGGTGAGATAAATCTAAGGGGTCACTGTGGCCGCGCGGTCTGAGGCGTGGGCCTTGTGCCACTTGGTCACTGGGACCGTGGGTTCGAATCCCACTCAAGCCATGGATGTTTGTCCGCGTTTTTCTGTGTTGTGCTGTCCTGTGTACAGGTAGAGACCTTGCGACGGGCCGATCCCACGTCCAATGAGTCCTACCGAATATCTAATAGATCAAAGCCAGCGAAAAGTTGGAACCCGCATTGCTCAGGCACTTGAAGAACGGGTCGTGTCAGTAAAGAGATAAATCTATTCTTTGTCACTGATGAGATTAGCTATGGAACAGACACTGATACCTCTTTGCCTGGAATCGGGGTTAAACCTACTCTGCGAAACATTGACAATATAGAATTTTAGTTTGTTATATTGTTACTGGCTTAAATAACATACATTGGACAAAATCCAACCAAAACATCCTATTTATATTCGTCGTTCATCATTACGAGTCCACATTAAAGCGATTTGTATCTTACGTATTTTCTTCTTATTTGAAACGAAAAGTCCCTGACAATAAAGCTGGTGGAATAATTTTTAACATATATTTGTAAGGAGACTGCAGAGTTGCATTACTTCAGACCGAATGCAGGATAACAAATGGGGCGTCGTAAATTACAAATAGACAGAAACTTTAAACGGGTATGAATAAAAACCCTTTTTAATAAAGAAGATCATGTCGATATTATTAGCATTTTTGGTTGCAATCTTAAACAAAGTACAACTCGTCTTCATTACAAAGAATAATCAGTTAATTATATTTAAGAAAATAATCTGTTATTCTGAGAACCACACGAAACCCAAAAATACACTCCATGGAAACAACGCAAAAAAACGGAATGATATCGTAGGTGACGCATAAAGTTACTACTAAGACTTAAGTGGTTAAGAAGGAATTCGTGGAACCGAAAACAGAAGTCGTTGTGGCACAACAACCGAATGTTACAGTTTTCGTCTTTGTGTCCGGAAGTGAATAAAGAACTTTACCTGTAATGTTTATGATGACATGTCTTACATTTGTAGTAGCTCTCCAACCTGCAGTTTCACTTGTGCATCCTCTCAGCTTCCAGACTCAACCTGATATCAGTGTGTTACATCAACCCCAAGGGACAGAGCGTCTAGACTTGGTCTGTTCCTTTTGCTTTAGCGACCACTCATATGACGTTACAGGCTTAATCGTGTTCATCCACGCGAACTGACCAATCCGTGAAACGAATTTTTAATTCGTAATATATTTCTCTACTATCCGTTCAAGTCCGAAACTTTATTTCAACAAATATCTATCTACTTTGTCGATATTAGTTGTTGCTATGCAAGGCAAGTTCTATGTCTGTGTTACGTCATGATTACCTTCTCATTTTCGTTAAGTTCATTTCGTACGTAATGAGCAGCTCGAGTCTGCATTTACGCCTCTGAATTCCATTCAGGAGGCGCCTAGTTCCAATTTCAGCTTTAATGATTAATCTGACAGCTACGTATCGTCTTTCCTGTTGTTCCTAATGAATCAAAGGCTACTGACTTCAAATAGTGAACGATATTCTCCAATTGAATTATCTCCGACTCATAATTCATGATAGCATCACCCAGCATGAACGCGGAGCAGTGACGGTTTGTATTTGCTATTACAGCATCAGATTAGAGGATAAATGTTAATGATTAGTATCCCTGAAATATTTTAATTTTCTACATAACCATTTTCTGAAGGAAGTGAAGAGAAACCTCGACTTTTCGTGGTTTTGTACTCAGCCAGAAGATGTTGTTTCCAGATAAAGAATCGAAACTATGATCTTCAAAATACGCCAGTAGGCTTACCTGCGAAGAAAAAATTACTGTTTTCTTCCAGATTCTTGCCTACTAACAATTCCGTCCATATTCCGGGTTATATTTTCGTGTTACCTCTACAGTCGTCGTTAAATACGAATCGGGACATACAACTTTTGAGGTGAGTCGTTATCGAAATAACAGTCTAATTTGTCAGAAGTCATACAGAAATTTACTGTCTCCTTGTTCAGGGTTGAGGGAAGAATATCTCCCGAGACGTCGGAGATATTTGCCATTTTTACATGGAGCTGCACTCAGACGACTCTAAAAGAAATGAATTTTTGACTGCCCATCTGAACCCAACCTTGTCTCTGCGGAATTCACAGAAATTACTAATGACTTTTATTTGTGCCTCAAACAAAATACGTCGTACACGCATTTATGACAAGGTGAATCACGACTTGAGGCAAAACTAATCAGGCATAATACTCAGTAGTGGAATATTAACGTTGTATTTACAAGGTTTCTGTTTCACTGTCAAACTGGCTGCTTCATAACTAACCTGAGTCCCAACAGTTTTGGGATTTACACAAAAGGTCTTGACGTAGGTATGTCACTAAGGACACTTTCCTTCGTAGTAGATTAAAAATCCACACGATGTTTCGGAAACTGACTCTTCTGCTGCTGTCATCAAGTCAACAGCCTATATCCACAGAAAAAAGCCCATCGCATCATTAATCAGCTAATTACTGTAGATTATAAACTAATTTTGTTTGTTGCAATTCCAGGACTGGAAGACGTGGCACTTCGATTAAACCTGCAGCCCCTCATCGAAGCTATTACGAAACGTGAGGACAATCTTAGTAATGAAACAGGACACCAGGCGGCAGTTTTGAACACAACAGAAGATTAAAATGGAGCGTCCCACGTCATATCCTTCACGTTTATCTTCTACACACCAGCATTTATTCATGATATCACACACATCATGATTTTAACACATACGCAAACTACAGATAATTTGTGGTGTAATGTGCTGTGTAGACCAGCGATTCCTTTTTCCAGCTTTGTGCGATCTCACAGAGCTACGTGAAAATCCAACGACAAAAGCCATTCATTAATTAACGCTGACGAAGCTTGTAAATTTCATTTTCCATAAATGAAATCGTAAAACTAATTTATTCCTTAAAATGTTTAATGCAATTCGTCTATTATGACAACACTTCATATAAACAAAATTTATTTCCAAAGATGTCTGTCTTTGGGTTATAGCGCCATGTAATCTGATAGAAGTTTACCAACGTTTAATAGGTTCTTCTGCCTCCATCATCAGGGCGATAATGAAACGCTGGTAAATGTCTACCAGACTACGCGGTGCTACACTCCAGCCATATTCAGACTCACCGCCGTGAAAACCTCAAATCCTAATAGGATTTTTTCCGTTTGGATCTCCTTTGAATTTCTCTTTCTAATCTTTTAATTCTGATTCACTGATTCGTAATTTCCCCCACCGTTATTATTTTTTCATTTTAAATGAGTGTGGAATATGGTCTGCTTAGAAACGTCTTCGTCCTAACACTTTTACATCAGCCGAAATAATTATGTTCTTTATTACCTCACAATTAGTATATCAGATAAATTAATGACTTTCTGTTTTTCAATGAACCAATATTTTTGTATCGATCGCATAATTCGCTGAAACATAAAAATTGATTGATTGATTGATTACGTGAAGTTATTTAAGTACTCTTTCCAGTAATAAATTTCACAATAACTAAAGATTCGCGAGATTTATTATGACATTATTTCATTTTAATCCATTTTCCAACGGTTATTGCTGCACGTACGCTGTAGTTAATTACTGAAACTTTTAGCTATTTACCAATCTTTAAAACTTCCCTTTCAACAACTAGCGCAGCACAGCGGACAATAATGCTTCGTTTCCTGGGCTATACGATCCTCAATGACTGTCGAATTCTGGGTTACAATATCACTGAATTTTTATTCTTAATAAAATAATATTACACAATGTTCAATTCCGAAGACTCGAGTAAATCAAAAGGGAAGTAATTAACTGTTGTAGAAAGAAACGGAGAGTTATATTAGAAGAAGTTTTACCTTGGATAGCATGATAAACGTATTTTCTTCATGTCCAACAGTTCAGATATTCCATACAGATGCAGAATTATAATCATACTCAGCGGTTGTCAGTACATACAAACCCACACGCTCAAACCAATTTTCTTTCAACCAGATTATTCAGTTCACAGTATAAGAAACAAAGCTCTGTATGAAGGAATCTGGGGTGTTTCCATCAGCTATTATAACCATTATAATTAGTAATTAGTAACTTATGTGTAAATGAAGAGATTGGCGCAAGATAGGCGAAAATGGAGGACCACATCAAACCAGTCGAAAGACTGATGACAAAAGAGAAAAATTAGTAATTCTAGTGGAGACAAATTTGTAAACATTAACAAACTGCTTTTCAGATGTATTTTTCCATTTTGCTTACCCTGAATGAACTCCCTTTACACGTAACATTTTTAAACCCCATCACAGGTAAAACGTTTAAAACAGTCGTCGGCCGCCTTGTTTTAAAATACAAGACATTGCTGTTTAAGTCAGCTGGGTAATTTCATGAAGTAACTTTTTTTATACTGCATCGAAATCTCAAAGCGGAGGCACCGGTAAAATCCCAAAACCGAACATCAGATTTATGCTGGATAAAGTTCAATTTTCTCTTCGAAGGCATTTATCAATGCTCCATACTTATCACCACCGCCCCTGACACGTGTTACAGGCCCGACTAGTAAACACGTTATTACGACGACAGCTGTGATCCAGCACTTTGACAACAGTTGAGAGTGAAGGGATTAACTTAATTAATCTTATAATGTTTACGTTTAAAGTAAACAAGGTTAGCTATATATGGCCTTGACATAACAGGAAATTCTTTTTTTCTCCAAATAGGCATACGTTCCCGAGAACTAACTGCTCATTTCAATAAATAATGAGATTTTCATTGGTAGCTTCCGGTAAAAAATCTAACACAAATGACATGTGCGAATTTTACGTGTTTTTCGGCTAAGGGAAGAGAAGTTAAGCGTACATTATATTCATAGGAAACAATATTTCCTTGCCTAAAATTAGGCTAAAGCCGTGTCTTCAAGACAAATCAATCGATTTAATTTACGTTCGCTCAAGATAAACGACGAAGCGTTATAGTAGTAGTAATTCAATTCATTTCAATTAATTTATTTACGTGTTTGCCAACAGTAAGAAACCTATAACAGGCAAACACTGATAAATTTACAATAATAATGATATAATAAAGAAAAATATTACAAAAAGAGATTAATTAAACTTATACATGTACAGTATTAAATATAACAGCCAATTACAGGTAAGCCCAAAATAGAAACAAATTTATACACAAAGAAAAAAAATGAAGAAATAATCAACCTAGGGAACGCTAATATAATGTAATGATATACAAATAACGAAAACGTAAAAGGAAATGTAAGAGTTGCAGATATTGTAAAATACATATAAGTAGCTAAGTACAAATGAAGATAATTTAAGAATCGTGAACTAATTTTTATCTGGATACAATCTGTGTCATGCAAGGCGGACATAAACAAAGGCACAGAATAATTCAAAACAGAAATATTTAATATGTATTAATGGTCGAAAGCCGAAGAAATATAATAATTTCGAAGGATTTTTTATTTTCGCCGAACCAATGTTATTTTCAGAATATATAGTGTGGATCAATACGATAAACCGCCAAGAAACAATTCCCATTTCCCTTATTTATGTCTTCTGAAACATCCCACAGTTACCGACCTCGAGCAATCGCTGTACCGAATACCAGCATTCTTGGGAGGACGCTCGCTGTTCACATTTTCTATTTCGGTTGCGATCATGCCACTGTCCCGTTACAAATTCGCAATATATCGAGCGTAATAGCAGTTCAAATGGTGCCCCCCAGGTACGACAGACGTATGCATACACTATATGCCATGTTCTAAATGTAGTGGTAGACCTCGAAGGTTCAATACAGCAAGTTAACATCAAAACCTGTCATTTCATACAACACTGAGTCCTGTGCACGTCCGTCTCACAAAGCAATTTCCTAACATTCATATTAATGTTATCCTTTCATAATTTATAACACTTCACATTTCTTAACCTTATCATTGACAAAATCTTCCAGATTCTTATCGACGATGAACAGACTACTTCATTCGCATTTATATTTATTTATTGCTGAGACATGTACAGGTGTTCACTGAATACTTGTTTCTTGGCTCTACAACTCGGTTGTAGGTTTTCGCCGCCTACGTTTCTGAGGTTTCTTGGTCTTGAAGTGTGCATTTATGAGTAGTGTGTGACCAGCCATACTTGTAAACATCAAATAAGACACTGTATACAAAGACAATATAATACATTTATTTATATATCATTACTTACCTACATCACACCAAAATAAATTTTAGGTCAAAGTTGTTGACCTTATTGATACTTGAATTTTAAGTATCCCCTTTGAATTTTTGTTTCAGCTTCGTAAATGAGACCACAGTCACATTCTTTCGACAATATTTAACGTATACTGTCAATGGAAAATTTAACTGAAAATAGTCAAGAGATATTCATGGCAAAATAAATCAACGAAAAGACACATCAGGGGTGGAACACACAGAAAAGCTGAACAAGCTTATGAGATTAATCTAAATCAGTGGTATTCAACCTTTTTTGTTCGCGTACCCCCATATATAATTTTTCTTAAACTTTGTACCCTCAAAGTTGTTGGTGTATAATTCAAGTTATACATAGTATATAATCTACATCTAAAATAAATTAAATAAATTACATTACTGATTATTCAGTGTTTATCATAAAATAATATATGTATATATTTTAAATTTCACGTATCCCCTAAGATGTCTTTGCGTTGAAGACCACTGATCTAAATAATCAGAGATTTGCAGTTTATGAGTTGCAATTATATTGGCTTTTTGTATGTAACTAATTCTTTATTAGGTCATTTAACAAAGCCGTATCAACTATAGCTGCATTCGTCGTCGAATGTGAAAGAGTTCCAATTTCTCAAATGCGGTGTTCTGTAACCTTTTAGGATTTAATTAAATATTGTTTCTTTATCCCGTCGAGACCAATTATTTTACTGCGGAAGTGTGTAAAAAAGAATTGAGCCGCATGGGCTTGCTATATAAATACTGAGTTAATACAAAATATCGCAGTGGATGCAACGCGGGCAGCATACATTATTATTCCTAACAGTTGGGTATTATTCTTATTAGGTTTCGTGTCCGATTTTGGAAATCCAGATGAATAAGGTGCCACCCACACACCAGGGGAGAAGCGTTTATGTAGCTGTATTAGTAGTCTTATTCCGGATAACACGTTGAAAAACATAAAACAAAAATTCTTTCATCTTATTTCACGGCTCAGCGGTTTTCCGTACACTGGAACGCAGCAGAACCAATCAGATAAAATGTCATATACCACATCATTAGCCAGCTACTTGAAGTTTACGCTAGTGGCGAGCGTATGTGACAAATGGATATTCCTTAATGCACATATAACATATTATAACTATTCTTCCTCACTACTTTTACCTTCTCTGTTCTTGCAGAAAGA